TCAGGACTACCAAGAGGATACTTCTGATCAAATTCATGCGATTTAACAAAATATTCTACTCCATGTTCTTCGGTCATCTTCCTAAACTGATATTGGTAGTTCTTCTGCAAAGAATACTCAGGCTCCGAGAAAGGAAGATAAGCAAGTAAGATGATGATTAAAAATGGCAATAACTGAAGGAGGAGAAGGAAGTTGGGCCCAGTGGAACCTAAATCCTCTCTCTGGGGAGCAGCATTTGTTCTTGTCCTGTAAACATGAGCTGTCCTAAACATATCGGAACGACCAAAAAATGCTCTGAAAATCTCATCAGGATCAAAATCATCATCATAATAGCTGTGCCCAGTTCTCCTCCTGCGCCTAACATTATGCTGTTGATTATACTCGAAATCCTCAGCCAAACCTGTCTGGTCATACTGCCTCCTTGAATCATCATCACTCAAACACTTAAATGCCTTGGATACTTTCTTAAATGCCTCTTCAGAGCCTGGAGCCTTATTTTTGTCGGGATGAACTTTCAATGACAGTTTCCTGTATGACTTCCTAATCTCCTCAACTGAACAACCCTTCTCTAGACCAAGAATCGCGTAATAGTCCTTCTTAGTCTTAATTTGCCTAATCAACTGCACATGTTCGTCAGTATAGTTCCTCTCCCCATCGGATACCTCATCAGACTTAACACGACTCGTGTCATTTTTCATATTTTCAACATTTCTAACCTCACTTGAGGACTCAGGAGTTGATGACTCCAGATTTTCACAAGCAGCCAAAAGATCTTCCACAGATAGATCATTGTTAAGGCGCCGTGCAATTCTGATAAACTTGAGTGCTTTCTGCTTATTGCCAGTTGCAATGGCCTCCTTGGCAATACCAATGCACCTTAAAGCCTCATCCTTGTTACCTTCCATTCTAGCGTTCAATGCAACAACTTCAACTCAACTTGACAAGAAACTCTAAAACAGAAAATCACAGCTCTGAAACAAAAATGCGATCTTCTAGAGATCACAATACTCAGAGAGATACAAGCGCTTGCAATTTCAATTCACCTGATAACCAAAAAATACCAAACAAATTACTCAAAATAATCACACAAAAACATGCATGAGCACTTTACAATATTAGTCAATATCAGATCAATCAAGACAAGAAAAAAAAACACAATCTACTAAAGATTGTGATAAACATACAAAAGCTGTGATTTAAAATTGATTTGACTACCAAAATGCATAAGAGATTGCTCAAAATTAGCACACGCGCATGTAATGAAGCATAATAGTGTTGATCAATATCACAAAATCTGAAAATAGGACGAATAATGAAGCAAAAAACGAGATGTGGAATATTATGGCTTGAATTTTTTATAATTGTATTACTAATAAACTAAATCCACTCAAAAATAAACATACTACAAGGATCACAATACACACGAAAAATAGTGCCTGCAATTCAATTCACCTTACCACAAAAGATATCCAGTCAACACTCAAAGTCACCCAAAACTCTAATGAAGCAATAATTCGACAAGATATTAACTATTAGGTCTTAAATCATCTACTAGAAACCACAATACTCAGGGAACCAACGATTGCAATTCAATTTTTCTATATCATAATACCTAAGAAAATTGCAAAATTAACAGACAAAAACTTGTAATGAATCAGAATATCGATGAGATACGAAATTGGAACTCTGTTTATTTAAGATTGTATGACAAATAAGATGTATCCAACCAAAAATACACATCTTACTAGGATCAAGAAATATAGGGAGAAGGAACTATTGCAAATTCAACTCACCTAATCACCAAAATACCAAACAAGTTACTTAATATTAACACACAAACAGAAAATGAAAATTAGGCTTCATTGGTTGAGAAATAAATGAACATCTGATAAAAGATACAAATTCTACTACAGATCATGATACGCAGAGAAACCGTGACTGCAACTCAACTCAACTCACTGCCAAAATACCAAACAAATCACTCAAAATTATTACAGGAACACATTGAACTGTTATTATGTATTACACACGAACTAAATCCACTGAGAAAGAGAAATTCTAATAGGGATCAGTATCACAATACACAGAGAAGCAGACCAGTTCACTTCCCCTAATTACCAAAATACCAACCAATTTCTTCAAATCACACACAAACATGTAATGTAGCAAAAACTGATGAGATATTGAAAAATAGCGATTGAACTGCCAGTAGTTGTATGACAATTAATTAACTCTACTGAAAAATACTTGTTCTACTAGGGATCATGATACACACAGGAGTGTGATCGCATATTCAATTTTCCCAATTACAAAAATACCCAACCAATTGCTCAACTTCACATATAAACATGTAATGAAGCAAAAAATTGATGAAATATTGAAAACTAGTGCTTGAACTGCCAATAACTGTATTACAAATGAAGTAAATCTACTGGAAAATACTTGTTCTACTAGGGATCACAATACACACAGGAGAGTAATCGCAATTCATTTTCCTTAATTAGGAGAATATACAACCAATTGCTCAAACTTCACATATAAACATGAAATGAAGCAAAAATCAATGAATTTTTTTTTTCAAAAAAAAGGTTTGAACTGTCAATAACTGTATTACACTGGAGATCACGATAAGACTCAATTTCCTGATTAGGAAAGCATCCAACCAAATGCTCTACTGAAAAATATTTGTTCTACTAGGAATCAGATACACAATGGAGCAGGATCTCAATTCAACATTCCTAATCACGAAAATACCCAACCAATTGCTCAACTTCACATATAAACATGTAATGAAGCAAAAATCAATGAAATATGTAACTAAAAAAAGGCTTAGAACTGTCAATAACTGTATTTACACTAGAGATCACGATACACACACGAAGGAGCCTCGATCGCAATTCAATTTCTTAATTAGGAAAACATCCAACCAATTGCTCAAATTCATATATATATAAACACATAATCAAGCAAAAAAAACATAATCCATAAAATATTGAAAATTAGAGCTTGAGTTTCATGAAATTGAATCGTAAACGAATCTCATCTGAAAATTCCACAAAAACATGATCGGAAAAAACTGTAATAGCTGCTCGGAAACTACTCACCTGCTACCGGAAGTGAAATCGAAAGAGACGACTGACCGACCGGACGGCGAGCAGAGACAGAGGAGATTTTGAGAGTCGCAAAAAATGAGAGATGTGAGCAGATTTGCGGTCTTTATAGTCGGACCAATTCACACGCGCCACATCAGTGAAAGAGTCGTATATTTGACGACGATAATGATTTTTTTTAATTATTCTATTTTATTGTATATATATTACCCATATTTATAAGCCAAACCAGGGCTAGGACCAACACAGCAGCAAATAGTTGTACAAAATGCAACATAAAGTGTACAGTTGATAATGTCATTTCGTACATGTATATGACAATGTCACGTTCTATCTGGAACAAAATGATCATTTCGTACATGTATATGACAATGTTACGTTCTATCCATACAGAAATTCCTTCATCTATTTGCATTTTGACATCACTGGTAATGCTTGATTTGGCTAGAAACAACTTGAATTCCTCAATGTTTGGATGATAACAGCGGCCTCGAGGTTCTGGATATGCACCACAACAGCCTTTCAGGGACTCTTTACTTTTAGAATTGGAAGTGCACTCAAAAGCTTCAACTTTCATGGCAATAAGCCGGAGGGGGAAATCCCACGATCCTTGACCAATTGCAAGCAACTCGATGTTCTTGATTTAAGAGACAATCACCTCAACGACACATTTCTCGTGTGGTTGGGCACTCTGCCAAAGCTGAAAGTTCTAAGTTTGAGATCCAATAAATTGCATGGGTCCATTAGATCTCTACCGACTGGAAACATGTTTCCTCAGCTTAGAATATTAGATCTCTCCTCCAATGCCTTCACAAAAAGCTACCAAGACTCTGTTTCAACATTTGAAAGCCATGAGGACTCTGTTTCAACATTTAAAAGCCATGAGGACAGTTGATCAAACGATGAATGCACCAAGTGATGAAGGGAATCGATATTACCAAGACTCGGTAGCTCTCATAACAAAAGGATTATAGCTTGAAGTTGTGAGAATCTTGTTTTTATACACCACTGTTGATCTTTCAAACAACAAATTTGAAGGATATATTCTAAGTATTATGGGAGATCTCATTGCACTTCGTGTGCTGAATTTATCTCATAATGGATTACAAGTAAAAATATGCAACATTGAAATGAAAAATAATACTTATCAAACAATAAATAAATGTCTATGCCGCCTTTAACCTTCTTGAAGAATTCATCGAATACACTGAAATGACTAATATTCTAGTTCAGATATCTATATTCTCCAAGAAACTACTGTCAATAAATTAACGAAACAACATACATATTCTTTCTCACACAAATAGATTAGTTTTACCTCATGAATGTTGAGCAGACTTTTTGTCCAAACGAAAAACTCTCTAGAATTATTTCTCACTTGTTGCGTTAAAAACATAAAATTTCAACTAAAGAATGAAACAAAACCTATAATTTGAGTTCTATCTATATACATATATAACTAAAATTTATTGATCAAGAGAAACATGAAAAATTAGAAGTATAATTTTGTGAGATAAATCAACTCACATGCTATTGTCACCCAAAATGAGAAGACAGCAAAATAATGTATTCTGTGGGGAAAATCATGTATATAATTTTATCAATGGAAACTCTTCAAATTCTTTAACTTAAAATTAAATAAGAGATGTTTTGAAATGTTTGGACTTCATTTATTTGAATGACTTTTTATCTTCCATTATATCTTTATTACTTTAAAGTTTATTATCTAATTATTTAGTAGAATATACTTTTACATTTTTTATATTTTAAAAAATAGAAAAAATATTTAAGTGAAGGGCAAAATGGTAACTCAACTTTGAGGTTAGGAGCTTCGCTTCTCACTTATAATAATATATGATGATATGATATATGATATATGATATGATAATGGAAGGAATCAGTTTTCGTCATCAGAATCGAAGTTTTGCCTTCTCCTTAGAGACTCAATCACTTCAGGAGGCTTGTCTCCTCTGCTTAATGCTCCACCTGAATGAGACTTGAGCCTAGGTGCCTTCATTGCACTTAGTGGTGGTGTTGATGTTCCTCTATTGACTTCCCTGAGCACTGACCGAGCTGCGACAGCTGCCACTGCATCTGCCATGGCTGAAGCAATTTTTGTATTGCCCTCATCAGATTTCTTGTTCATGAAGCTTGAAGTTGTAGGATTACTTGGTGACCGATAAAGATCTGGTCTTTGCATGGTTGCAACTGCCTCAGCAGCAGCTGACTTTGCCTTCATTGATTCGTATTTTTGCATGTCGTAAATGAGCTCTTTCTGGAGTTGCTTATCAGCAATCAACATGTCATCAATCTCATTCTTGTAATCCTTGAGGAGGTTCCTAAGGCATTCCATGAGAGAACCAGTGAGAGGACTGTTTTTGCTCTCTAGTAGGCGTTTTAACTCTATAAAAATCGGGATCGTATTCTGGATTAAGCTTTTCTTGACTGCTTGTGTTATTGCTCTTCCCTTTGCTGCTGAGGATGCTCCTCCATCTGCCCCTTCTTCTTCCACATCCGCTGATTCTGTGGTCAATCCACGGCTAGTGGAAATTCGGATCTCCTTACTAGAAAGAACTTGAAACGCATCCTGATCATAATACAATTCAATATGAGTGCCAAAACAAGTTGATTAACCAATAAATTTCTCCAACCGGTGAAGGAATCCTCGTTATCCTCACACAAAAACATGAGATATAGGCTCACTGCTTGGTGAACACAAGACAAAATCTTCTTAGTCCAACATTAAGGAAATCCACGGACTATGGTTTTAGGTGAGATGCACTACTACCCTTTTTTTCACTTCACCTTGAAGCTATATGTAGGTTGGTTAAAGCATTTTAAGCAATCTTCTGTTATGGTTTTAGGTGAGATGCACTACTACCCTTCAGCAATAAATACTGATAGTAACCCCTAATAAACCTTATAAGAAGTCCTTATCGTTTTCCCATTTTTGGGAGCTGAGGTGATTGGTTAGGAATCGGTACCTGCAGAACAGACTGTCCAGTTGCATCCTCGATATTAAGCAAACCATCAGATGCAGCAGCAAGGATCTCTGCACATATTTTGGCAAATGTGGCTAGTAGGTGTTCTGGAGCCATTTGTTTTAGCAATGTCACATATATGTGCATTCTTGAAGACCTAGACTTCTCATCATTTCCTCTGTACAATAGCTAAAGTTAGAAGAGTTTCTTGTTACTGACCAGATAATGACAATAGACAATAACATTATTACCGTATAGAAAAGATCCGGGTCTCATTTCGTGAATTCTGAGGATTACTGGATCCAGTATGAGCATTGCAGTCATTCAGCACAAATATGGCTTCTACAAAACTGTTATAGGCCAAAAGTGGTGCTTTGGCTGCAGAGAAATTGCAAAAAGGGAATAATAAGTTTCGCATGCAAAATATACTTTCAATTGCTAAGTTTACGGAGATACAACCTTTTAATATATTTCCAAATAGAAAATCAGCCAATTGTCTAATCGTCTCTGATTCATCAACAAGAGATAACAGGAACCGAAGGAAAAGCACTCCTCTCCACTTGACATAGTCTCTCTGAGTACAAGAAAAGACAGATGACAGTTAACCAAAGCTATATCAAGATCTTGCATAAAATTTAGAAAGAGAATGACTTCAGGAGTGTACCTGCAATAGTCTGGATAGTAGTATAAATGTCTGCCTTCTAACAAGTTCACATGGATCACGTAGGCACTTGGTGATTTTTGATAGGTAACTTTTTTATTAAGAATTGCACATAAAAATTATGTCAGGGAAAATGATCTGTGCAAGCTGCTATAGACATGCTTATGAATACAAATGGACTCACCAGTCGACTAGAGCAGTATACCGTACACAGAAATCTGCCATCACTGCAACTATGTTGTTGCGGAGGGAAGCACAATCACCCTTCTCAAGCTCCTGGGAAACATAATGAAAGAGAAAAGTGTCAACAGCGGAAATTATATTGTCGAGTTTTTTTTTGGGCTGAGCAGAATCTTAATCCATAGGAACAAGCCTTACCTGGACAAACAGAGGAATGTAGCGCTTTGCGAGTTTCCCATCAGTGAGGCAGATCTTGCCCATGGTTAACCAAGCTTGAATGTACAAGGAAGGAGCAGTCTGTTTTATGGAAATGGAAGCGACTGCTGGTTTTTTAGCTCTAGTGTTACTGGTACCAGAAGTGATTATCGTGTGTAAAATGGGAACAATGGTTGATACATCAGCTGAAGGACAAATAATGACTAGAGATCCAATGGTATGAACTGCAGTTATTGTTTCCGGTAACAATTTAGAGTGTGATGCCACTGTTCTTTTCCCCTTTCCAGTTGTACACCCAAGTGGTGTGACAAAGATAGTTCCGTTTTCTTCCACATTCTTTGACATGTATGCATCTAGCAATCTGGATGCTTTGGATATTAGCTGATTTACCCATTTTGCAACAAGGGAATCACCCTCTTGAGGGTTCAGAGCCTTCCGCTTGCACAAAGTTCTGAGTGCTTTCACATGAGCATTAACCTGCCACAGCCAAGCCATTAACAGATAACAGTTATACACATGCACTAACTTTCTCACCAAGTAGATACTGATGCAAGGTATTACTATAAAATTCCGAAGGTATAATCAGAGGCATAATCTTATTAACGCCAAACCGACTACCTTTGCATTTGTAATTTTATTGTTCTCTATCCATCAAAACTACAAATTTGTGTTCTTAAACTACAACAATTATTGTTGGAAGTTTAATATAAATATGCTTGCAGTAGGCTTACATATTATAAAAGCTCAATTTTACTCCTTTAGAGTTTCAGAATGTAAAAAATAACACATCTTAATTTTGCAAAGTTGCTACACTCAATCATAGAACTAATTTATATGCACCTCATTATCCTATGTAAATCAAAAGTTTCCAGGCATTTTCCCTTAAATTAGTCAATTGAAAGTTTTCATTAAGAGAGACCATAAGCCTAAGGAATATTGTCTATCAATTATTAGAGCATAGACATATGTAATAAACCATAGTAGCTGGTGGATTCCGAAATACTGAATAATAAATCCATTGCTAGAGGTTAGGCATTTTGAAGTTGTTCAGGAAAGCAGAAACAAAAATGTATTCTAGCACTTTCATATCAATGCTTCCTTTCAAGAAATTTGAAATCAAACCGCAGGCAATCAGTTAAGTGAAGCACCTAGATTATAAAGAGATTTGTCAAACTTGTTGGAAGTCGGCTAAAGCAACTCACATACAAATTACATATAATCTCTACAAATGTAAGAAGGGAAGGACACAAGAAAGTATAATGTGAAATGTTACTGATGGCAGATACCTCTGTCGAATGCATGTTGAACTCCTCTAAACGTTGAAGAAGGTTATGAGCTAGATCTGCCGCAGGTTCAGGTGGCAGATCCATAGAAACATTAGAGATTGTTTGCAAAAGATGCACACGATCTGCAGCCCATGAAAAAGTGCTTGATGTTGTATTTAGCCCTTCCTCCAGACAACCTGGATCCCATGAGCTATCAGGATCTCCAGTGGCTTTATACTTGTCAAGGAGCTGCCAATGATGATGGAGGAATTCCCAATCCGTAGCTCGGGAAAGGAATGCGGACACCTCTGAGAGTAGAAACCAAGCACCTGGAGGAGCTGTCCACTTATCTATTGGCATGGAATTGCTTAACCACAGAGATTCGGACGACTTAATGATCTTTTGAAGTGTAGTGACAATCTTAGGCTTGAGTTTTTTCTTCTTTCCTAAATTTGTGCAGATCTTCTTCACCCAGGGTGTCACCTCTCCATCACATATCTCTCTCAATATACCTAAAACTCCTTGAGGATATAACAATTCCATTTTCATCTCTAAGGCTGCTGCCTTGCCATTTGAATTACCCTCAGATGCATGATTCAGGAGATTGCTGGATCCAGATCTACAAATACGGTCGAGAACCAACTCTAGGAACAGATTCTCACACTCTTCCTGTATGCTAGATTCATTATCAGTTATGAGACGAGGAATGGAATGTAGCCACTCCTTAACTACACTACCTTCTGTGAATATCCTAAATGCCTGTAAAGCAAATATAGACATCAAATGAGATCAAACTAGGTAATAAATGCTATACCACAAAATGAATGGAGAGGAAAGTGAATAATCTGATAAGTACAGAAGAATGTGTATTAATTTGACATTTGAAAACTAGAATTAAAGGAAAAGCAGAAGGCACAAAGTGGATAACATTGGTGCAAGTGCACCCATTTTCCTAAAAAATGGTCAAAAGTGACAGAAACCTAGAAAGACAAATGGAGAAAGACGCGGGCTTGATTCATGTGGTTCTCAAGTCAAGTAAGCATAATGTGTGTGCGGAAAAGGTAAAAGTGAACAAATGTTTGGAGACACTGGCAAAAAAGATACCACGAGTATGCTACAAGTAGCTGAAAATGAGACTATGGTATTCTTTCCTCAAATAAGGGGAGAAAAAGTTCATATAACTAAGCAGTTTGCTCCATGACCATGTAGAGATAATGGTAGTGTAATGCATTTTTTTGGATCAATGGCATCTTTACTGCCAATTAAAGAAGATCAGAAGTTAGAACTACGTATGCGTGGGAAAGTGTGAACAGAATTTATCACCAGCTCCATAATAATGCATCCCCAATCTGTCTTTTATTTTGTACATGATAACCATAAAATATCTAACCGATGATCCAGGAAACCAAATGGAGGTCCACTTTTAACTGTTAGCAACATCAATACCAATCAATCAATTATGCCTGAAACTGGAACCAATTGTTATTAATAAGACTGATTTCTTTTAACATGTCTAACTTGCTACAAACCATTCCGCCTCACAAAATTTAGAGCAGTTACAACTTCTCTAAGCAGCAGATGCTAGACTTTGAATCAAATCTCTTCATTATAGAAACTTTGCCTACCATCTATTTAGCTAGAAGCAACAGCACACCCAGTGTAATCTCACAAGTGGGGTACAGAGAGGAGGAGTGTACAAAGACCTTACCCCTACCTTGGGAGGTAGAGAGGTTGCTTCTAATAGACCCTTGGCTTAACTGAAATAAACCAGTGTAATAACAATATAAATTGCACATGAATTACTTCACCTCTGAAAGAGCTGAAATTGCTGCTTTCCTTATGCTAACAAGTGGATCAGAACATGCCATGCCCAATGTCTTGAGAAAGTCTTCATCCGGAGCACTGTCTGAAAGAGATGCCAGCTTGGATATTACAAGAAGAGCAGCCTTCCTGACTGCAGCCTTCTCGTCCATACACCGTTTCTTCAAAATGCTATTCATTACACTTCCAGGCTTATCAGAAACGTCATTTCCAACTGAATCAAACCCCATAAACTTCTTCAGCACAGATTTGCTTTTATCATTCCCAGAGAAAAAACCCACCAATTGAGCCAAATTTGTCAAAGCCCGAGCCCTTATTCCAGCAGTTGCATCAGAACAACGCTGAATCAGCAACTCCAAACAACTCAAGCCCCAAGAACTTTCAACCTCAACATTCGAATCCCACCCAAATGGATCCTTTAGCGACATCATCAATGCTGGAATAAGGTCCACAGCTAATAGTCGCAGATGTGCTTTCCCTTGGCACATCTTCACCACATAACTAGCAAACTCATTTTGATCTTCAAAGTCCATAAACTTGACAATTTCCACAATGGCTTCAACAGCTGCAGCCCTTGGCTCAGCCTTTTCAGGAGCCTTTTGCACTATGTACTTTGGAAAATTCAAAATTGCTTTCTTTATATCATTCGATTCTATCGCCAATCTCATCATTCTATTCACCACAAATTCCAAACTTAAAGTCCTTGCTGGTGATTTAACCAATAGAATTAAAGGCGTCAATGACTTCAATACCTCAACAGCTGAAATCCCTTGATCTCCATGTTCACTCTTCAGTACTTCACTCAAAATCTGATTACACAGCTCACAAAATCTCCCATAAATCCCAGAATTCCCACATAAATCAACTGCTTTAACTGCAATTTCAGCTATAGTTTGTACCAAACTCTTCAAACAATCTGGAAACCTACCCAAATGGACTAAACTCAGTACCAATTTCAACCTATCAAGCACAATGAACAAAATCCTAACATCAAATTCACTCTCATTTTCACCATCCCGAACATTTCTCCCTCCTTTGCGAACTCTCCCCCTCTTCTTCTTCCCCTGACTATTTGACCCCGACCCATCTGGGGAAACCGAAGAGGGTGCCTTAAAACCCTGACGAATTGAACGAAGAAGAGACAAAAACGCCATCGGAGTAAAAAGCGTAAATACAGGAGAATTAGGTGTCAAAAGTAGAGACAAGTAAACCTTCGAAGCCAAAAGCGAAACACTCGAAGGTGAAGAATCCATCGTTGAAGCAATTGAGTTGATTAACGAAGTGGGTGAGAGATTTCTTGAAGATAATCCATCGTAAAAGTCTTCAATATCTATAGGGTCGTTGGTTTTGAGTGTGTGATCCAAAAGGGTTTGTAGATCCTTTAAAGCTGATTCTGACATGGGTGTTTGAGTTTTGAGGTCGTTTACTATTCTCTCTATAGCGTCTTCCATGGAAAATCTACCAGAGAATTTGGAAGCCATGGTTGAGGCTCTACGAAGCTTGAGTTTTTTTGGGTCAAATGTGTAGAGCTTACCTTCTTTGAAATTTTGGTTCCTCCCGCTCAATCGAATATTGGAGCAAAAGGTACAAAATGATCCACTAAGTTTGGATTTCCACTCATAATAGTCCTTCGGGCCGACTCAAGTGGCTATAGTTAGAAGTCCTTATAACAAGTGCTAGTTGTATTTATCTGATCGGGATTAGAGAAAAGTGTGAATGATCGAAAGAAAGTTGTTTTTATCTTCTCCCCTTCTTGACATGAAGAAATGTTTGATAATCACTCGGGTTGATATGTTTTTTCAGTTCTGATATAGAGAAAGTCAATCGGAGAAAGCACTCTTGTGCTACGTAATGTTGATTTGGCAATTTGAGACTTTGCGTAATTTACTTTCATCAAACAAAGAAAGTTGTCATTATCTTCACTTCCTCCTGACATGATGAAATGTTCATAATTCTTCAGGGGCTTATTTGTCCTTTCAGTTTCGATATGGAGAACACCGATTAGAGAAAGCACATCTATAGATTGTTGAATTTAGTTACTCACTTCACAGTTCAATTTCCTCCGTGGGGTGTATACCGTTGTCTAGTGTTGATTCAATAGTTTGTGTAATTTGCTACCGACAAACACTAAATTTCATTTGTCATGTTAGTTTTTATTTTTGATTGTGTATGCTCTTTGATAGGAGAACAAAATGGGAAACCCTATTTTCTAGGGATATCTTATAGACGCATGTCGATTCCCTTTATAGGCTGGGCTAGAATTTTATTGTTCTTGTTGTTTTTGCTTTGTCTTGAGCTCATTTGGGCCAATTTTGTATCGACTTATTTAATTAAATAAAGGAACTTCGAGCTCCACTAAAATTTATCAAAATAAATTTTAGATATTTCTATTTCAATGTAAAAACATATATATTTTACATGACATAAAAAATAAGATTAATAAAGATTTGTCTATAATAGCTTTATAATTTACATGTAGGAATTTAAGGTAGCAATCCAAGTGATTTGTTATCTACCATAGCTATATATGTTTGTGTTTGCATCATTCATCAAAATACAACTTAAAAGTAACAATTTGTATAATATCTTGCACCAAAATGATATTCAATAAAACATTAGTATTACATAGTGTAATTCAATTCGCAAGTACAAAGAATCTAAAATAAATATTAGAGTACAACTTATGATTAATTATTTTTCCTTTTAAGGAAGAAAAGGAAAAAAAAAAAAAACCTAAATGTACTAACACTAGAATCAATACAATCCTATATAGACCAGAAAAAATCATCTAAATTCCTTAACAATTGAACAAGACAGTACCATTCAGGACTTGTTTGGTACGAGGGATAAGCAATAATTAATTTTAGGATGAATTTATTTCATATTTAATTGGAATAAAATCATGAGATCAGTTATCTTGAAATTGTAACATTATTTTTATCCCACACTAAGAATAAAATAACAATTTTGAAATAATCAATTTCAAAATAACTTATTCCACAGCGAAATAAGCGGTTAAGGTTGTCTATTTCTTTGGTTTATTATTCTTCACAATCATCACAGAACAATTAGCATGGTGGGAACAATAATCACTTACACTGCCCAATACAGCCCTGCATCATTTTAAAAAGAAAATAAAATAAAACATCCAACAAAAAATTTTCAAGAAAAATAAGTAGTAGTATAAAAAATCAGAGTTTATGTCCTATGCTACCTTGTTCGGACTCTTCAAAAATATTATCGTGCCAAAAATTTTAAAATATACTATTTTTAAAGCATCAAAAATGCACTCCTCGGTATATTTTGAAGTACAAAGTATTGTTGTGTCAAAATCTTCAAAAATATACTTCTTCAAATCCAATACGCACCTTTAAATTTTTTTGAATAATTCCAGCATCAATCCTGTACACCGCCAATATATATAAACATAACTTAATCTACACTATCATTTTAAGTTAACAACATGTAATTAACTCATCATATCAAGTGTTCCGATATGGTAACTTAGAAATAGAACAATAACTTATTAGAACTGGTTAAATCATATATATTCACAGTGTAAATTTTTACTATCGACATATACGTGTTATATATATATATATACCTTTTGAAAGCTCCATAACCATGGCTACCCATGACCAAAAGAGTGGCATGTTGCTTTTCAACAGCATCAACAATAATATTCCTAGCATCACCTTCATATACTTCATATGATACATTTGTTACACCTTTACTCTTGCATAATTCTTTTGCTTTTTCAATAACTTTATCTACTGCCCTTTTAATGTCTGTTTCTATGAGTGTAAGCACATCAATTCTTCCTGCACAAAAACATTAATCAATAATATAATCTATCAAGTATCTATTCTATTTGTTATATGGATCAACGACAATAACATATTCAGTGTCATCTTATAAGTGAGAGTCTTGGAAGCTAATGTGGTATGTGTGCAATTTTATTCCTATCTTGTGAAGAACGAGGGACTATTTTCAATAGATCATTGGCTCAAGTAAATTATATCCTAATCAAGTATCGATAGGAAAATACATGCTAAAAACAAAAGGAGAAGAGAACAATAGCTATAACAAATCATAGGGTAACCGAAGCGAAAACACAACATGTGATAACAAAATCGAAGAATAAAATAGTAGAATGATAAAAATAATAACAATAGTGATAAGGGAACTAGACAACACATGACTTTGCTATATGAATCGTTAACATATTATGTTGTATGATTAGATTCAATGGATCCAAGGTAAAACAAGATCACTTCTTATGAACTCGTTGAAAATGATTTCATTTGATCCCTTTTTTTGAGAGAATTTGCCAAAATTCGATTGGATTTGAATTGTTTTATTAAATTAATAATGGGGTCAAACGGATCAAAATAATATAACAAATCGATCTTGACTCGACCTATTTTTAACTAACACTCATTTGACACATATATGTTCAACACAAAGGCAAAAAAGGAAGAACTCTATATTTTCATTCGACCCATCCAACCCATTTTAATCCATCAATAGTCTATCTGTCACCTCTTGATTTAACATAAAGACGAATCTACAAAGGATTCTGTATTTCCATCAAATATGCATGTTTTCAACTCAAATTATGTACACATGCACAAAAAATTTTTTATATAGAGAATCACCCTAATTTTCAATATATTGACTCTAAATTCTGAATTCGTTTTATACCTGGTCCAGGCATTCCTACCGAACAAGTAGCATATGCATTACTTTTTGCATGAATAATTACAAGCTTAAATTGAGAAGTTGATGGAGAACCAAAATAATGATCAAGTGTCCATTCAAGAGCATAGAAACTATGATCACTATCATCAATTGCAAAAATCAACACTGATTTTTCACTCATTTTTTTGTGTTTTTTCTTAATCTTCTATCTTTTTATTGCTTAACAATACAAAAGCTTTAATTTATTTGTGTTTGGTTCTATAAAATGTTTATAATGCAATCAAATTAGTGGAGTTAATTATGGATCTAAACTATAACTTGTGGACATTGCTAGGTAGTTAATAAAATTAAAGGTCTCAAAAAAACCACCATGTAGAGAGATGATATCCACAAAGGATAGTTTTTCCAACCTCTTTATTTTCATTGAGAGGTATATATATTATACTTTTTTCGGACATGTAATTTGAAATTCTTAATTAAGTAATATATTTTTTTTGATAAATATAAAAATTCCACAATTTGTGAAAACAAATTAAAACTTCCCCATCTCTTACAATATTTCTTAAAAATGAGCATAACATAATTCATAAATAAGATATTGAAATATCCTAGGGCGCCGTATTAATGCATCACATATCTCCATGTTTTATTTTATGAACAAATCCATGTGATTTCATGTTATTCCAAACTTTTAAATACACATAATTTACTAGTAATTAATAACTAATTATTCTTTGATATATCGAACATTCGTGGAAAACAACATAGGAATACTATATGATTAATTCATATTCATCATCAGAAAAAAAATAAAAATGGGTCAAAAAGTGGGGGTGCTGGCAAGCAAGGAACAAAGTGACGCATTAGACATGTCCATGTCATTGGCCACTACCTTCTAAATTACATAATCCATGTCGGTGGCCATTACTTCTAACCTGCCGAGAGATAATTCAACTCTGAGAAGTGACACACTTGCAGGCATTGGTGTTTCTTTTGAAACCAACGTAGAAAAACTATATGATTAATTCATGTTCATCAGGAAAAAAAAAAAAGTCAAAAAATAGGGGTGACACACGCGTAGATATCGGTGTTTCTTTTAAAACCAACATAAGAATACTATATGATTAATTCATGTTCATCAGAAAAAAAAAATAAAAAATCAAAAAGTGGGGGTGACACAAGTAGGCATTGGCGTTTCTTTTGAAACCAACATAGAAAAACTGTATGAATTAGAAAAAAAAGTGGGGGTGCTTGACAAGCGAGGAACAAAGAGACCATCGAACATTTTCATGTCAATGGCACCTACCTTCTAACTATATGATTAATTCATGTTCATCAGAAAAAAAAAAAAAAAAAAATCAAAAAGTGGGGGTGACACAAGTAGGCATTGGCGTTTCTTTTGAAACCAACATAGAAAAACTGTATGAATTAGAAAAAAAAGTGGGGGTGCTTGACAAGCGAGGAACAAAGAGACCATCGAACATTTTCATGTCAATGGCACCTACCTTCTAACCTGCCGGGAGATAATTCAACTCTGAGAACTGACACACGCATAGGCATCGGTGTTTCTTTTGTTTGGCACAACTGGAGGAAAACACCGGGCAAACACCCCCTTTGAATTAATTTTCTGGTTACAGAAGAGTAGGTTTCAGGGTTGGGACGGGAATCGCGTGCAATTCTCAGCTCCACACCCCCACAGTGAACTCTCTAATTTTGCTTTTACTTTTAAACCACTATTTTTCGTACTTACTATCCGATGTGGGACAATAGCATCATATATTTCACTATATATATATATACTATTAATAAGTATCAAAAACTATCAAACCAATAAATAATCTCCACGTAGACTAAGACTATTATTGTAAATTTTATTTCCTTTATTCTTCACTTCTTTCCTTTAAGTGAAACGTAACGTATATAATTTTACGCAAATCCATGTCATTTTACTTTCAAGTTTCACAATATATCAATGCACAAATACTATTCCTTTCGTTCACTTTTAAATTGCCATAACTTCATTTTTTAGAACTTTGACTGACATTTTATAATGTATTTTTTCATCATATTGATATATAAAAAATTACAATTTATAGTATTTTTCGTATAGTTTTTGAATATCTAAATTCTTTGTTTAAAATATCGAATTAATATAATCTAATTTAACTTTCGAAAAAATCAACATGACAATTAAAAATGGACTGATGGAGTATTTCTTACCAAATGAGCATAACACAATTCATAAATAAGTTACTGAAATATTCTAAAGCGCCGCATTAATAAATCACATATCTATATATTTTATTTCATGAACAAGAACTTGCTGTTACATGCTATTCAAAACTTTTAAATACACATAATTTATTGTTAATTACTATCACTATTCTTTGATATAATCCTTCCGTATGAATACGAAAAAAAAAAATAGATAAAAAATATATCAAAACCGCCAAAATAGAACAGAAGAAGAAAAGCCCTTTCCCCCCAAATCAGAAGATTTTACTTCGTTTTTGTTCAAACTCAACATTAGCGGTGTTTTGATGATTTCTGAGCAAATTGAAGAATTTCTACTTCAATGGGAGCGTTAACGAGCAACAGGAAGCGAGGTAATGATTTCTTCTCTTCGAATTGCAAAACCCCACTTTCAAATTTGTCCAAAAAGCTCAAACTTTCAGCCCTAAATCCACCATTATCAAGTAAATCAACTGTACAAAGGTTTTTCAAGTACCCAGATCCGATAAACCCAATTCGAAGAGAAGTTCATGCTCCTTGTAGGAAATTGAGATTTGGGTTTAAGCAAACGAAGTCGAACACTGTGAATTATAAGGGTGTTTCGGAATATTCTGGTTCTGAAATGGGTAATTGTCTATCGAGAAAGCATGAAGAAACTAAAAGAAGTGATTTTGATGGTTTGAGGAAAGATATTGAAGTGATAGATATTGATGGTGATGATGCTAAAGAGGGGTTTTTTGAGGATTCGAGTATTGCGGAAGTGGAAGCTTGGGGTTGTAAAAAAAGTGATTTAGATATTGCTGCTGCTAATGGTTTGGAGGATTCGAGTATCGAGGAATCAGAAAGATGGGGTTGTGAAAAAAGTGATCTTTTGGGCCAGGAGGTTGATGATGATATGAAGATTTTGGATGGTTATGATGGTAAGGATTCATCCGTGTTAACAATGGGTTTGGATGATGGAAATTTGAAGGAAGAGAGTGTGGGAAAGATGATAGAATCATTAGCTATGAACCCCACGCCGGATTCCTACTTCTATGTCCCTTTGTATAAGAAACTTCTTGGTTCAGTGGATAAAATAAGTGATAAGTTGAAAAGATTACAGTTCCAGATAGGATTGAATGAGAAGAGTCTCGAAACGAATAGGTTGTTGCGGCCTCAAAAGAAAGAAGAACAAGTTATAGAGGTAGCGTGATAGAATCTGCTTTATGATGTGGGTTTACGTGTGTTCATAGTTTAATTTCCTCATTTTGGTGTTTATTAACTTGCAGGATGCGATTTCAGAACCATTTGTGCCTCTAACTGAAGAGGAACATGATGAGGTTGCTTGTGCTCTATCTAAATCCAATCGGTATGATTTGTACACATTTTATTTTGTACGAGGTTTAATTTGCAATCTCTTCATATGTTGTATCTGTCTAATTCTGTGTAGGAGAAAGGTTTTGGTAACCCATAAAAGCTCCAATATTGATATTACTGGAGAAATATTGCAATGTTTGAGACCTGGGGCATGGTTGAATGATGAGGTGATACTTTATGCTCATTTTTCTATTCAGGGCTAGGATAGTTTAAAATTTAGTGAAGCTGAATATGGAAAAGAAGAAAAAATTAGAGTTTTAATGTCATGGATGGATTGCTTTTTTGCAGGTTATCAATGTGTATCTTGAACTGTTAAAGGAAAGAGAGAAAAGGGAGCCCCAGAAGTTCTTGAAATGTCATTTCTTCAACACATTCTTTTACAAGAAGGTCAGTTCGTTGACTTTCAGATCAAAATTTAATTTCTACAACTATTGTCAGCTGATACAGAGGCTTGGTCTATAATAGTTATCTGAAGTGAAAGTGTGGCCTGTTGATTTATGTCTGTTGTCTACTTCATATTAAGAAAAATAAGTTCATTATAAAAGAAAAGTTTTTTAAGTCATGTATATGAATAGAAGATGTTTTTGTCTAAAGTGTGGAAACATCAGATTGTATTTGTATATACATAGATATAAGTTGCTATCCATAGATATTTTTTCTTTCTTTATAACAGACAGTACAGCGACTCCTGTGCCACTCTTCAAGTGCCTATGGTTGGAAATGGTCTGCAATGCTTTCCTGATTTCTGCAGTTGATTAAGATTCTGTATGGAATGTGATGACTAGTGCTTGCAATAAAATGCCATCTCAGTCTGCATATTTGCCTAAACATGTCACACCCTCTTTCCACTGAATTCGCACTTCAAGAGTAGAGAATGAAGTATTTATCTTCTCTATCAGAGTCCTTATCTGATCCATAAGTACCATAGTTGGCAGTTTTTTTTTTTACGAATTATTTCCATAGACCTGATATATTCAAAAAATATTTTATTCGTATACTGATCTGCTTCTGCTTCTTAGTCCATACTCTACTCTTCCATGAATGAACTATGGTTATTGACACTGTTTAGTTTCTCTCTCGTGGTTAACTTGTTATCACGTTTATTAAAAATATCTGATTTTGTTCACATTATAAGGTTGCAATGTCAATTACTGATTATTATCACCTAACTGAAACTATATGTGAGAATTTAATTGAAAATCTGCCTATTTTCGTGGAAATATTACCGCATTTGCAGTTGATAAGTGGCACGGGAGGCTATAACTATCAATCTGTGAGAAGATGGACATCCCAAAGAAAGCTGGGTTACTCCCTCCTTGAATGCGATAAAGTAAAAGTTCTTTGATTTGTTTTCCTGTTCCTACTTTGTTTTGCTATCTGCTGTGTACTAATTTGATTCTCCTAATTTACTTAGATATTTGTCCCTATCCACAAAGAAATACATTGGTGTTTAGCTGTTATCAATAAAAAGGATCAGAAGTTCCAATATCTTGATTCACTCAGAGGAAGGGATAGTAATGTGCTGAAAGTGCTGGTAAGTTTCGTATCTGTACAAAGGAAAACTTGTTGAGACATGTTACCTTGTCTATTCTTGATTTTATTTGTGACTGGGAAAAGGGTGTTGAGGAAAGATCATGTTTCTGGATTTTTTGCTCTAGCTTGATGGGTGTTACAATTTGTTGATATCCATGTGCAGGCTAGTTACTTTGTTGATGAGGTGAAGGACAAGAGTGGGAAACACATTGATGTTAGTTCATGGAAGCAAGAGTTTGTTGAGGACCTTCCAGAGCAAAAGAATGGGTGTGTTGACACTTTGGTCTAATGATTCCTCCCAAACATATTTGCGACTCTGATATTTATTACTGCTATTTTCTGTTAACCTCTTCAGCTGATTTAGTTTTACTGGAAATTGTGCAGTAGTTCTTATAGAAACTTATTCCTTATTAAGTTTTACTTAGTACGAGAAGAAGGCATTTTCTATAGGTTGACCTTAGCTTTGCACTTCCCCTGCCATGTGTCAGTTATTAAGTATACGGGAAGACGCTTTGCTTTGACCTGCTTAACGCTGCTGCAACATTGGCTTTCACTTGGTTGCTATATGGAGTGTCTCTCTACAAGGCATGCGTAGTTGACATTATGCGGATATTGTGGGAAATCTTGGCCTGTTTAAGCATAGCATTGTTCGGCCTCATATTAATAAAGATGGTCCTCCTAATCCATTTAATTCGACGTAATTTCGGGTGGACTTAGTTTAATTTTTAACTTCTAATTACTACATGCTCTGCTAGAAATCACAAATAGAAGTCGAAAAGTATGAAGATTTTTTGCTATTCATGATATAATTCCTTGAAGCCTTATTGACAGTGGATGAGAAATGCTGTATCCTACTGGTGTAGAATTCCTTAAATGCCATTGGGCGCTGCGACATGCTTTGTTCTTTGATTTATTCCAAATGAATTTCTTTCCAGCTTATAGTTGGTTACTTTGCAGAGAAACTTCTTGGCCTTACACAAATTGTTTTCAGAAGAATGAAATGTTATTTTTGTATGCTAAGCCTACATAGAATTACAGTTAATTAAAGCTAGAATGCATAAATGTTTTCTGTAAATGTTCCAACATTCCGCAGTCGGATACATAAATAGGTCATATGTTATATCCAAGTTTGTTATCTGATTAGTGCTGCTATGTGAAGGTATTCTCCTTATTTGAAAAAAAGAGTTATTCTTGTTATTACAGCAAATTGTATTGTGTTTCTTGTGCTTTCCTTGTGAATCTGATTTTAGAGATACTCTGATGCTTCTGAACTCAAATTTATAGCCATTATTCCCCAAATATCTTTAGTCTGTTACTAGATTTTCCTTTTATGCAAGAAAATTGATTTACTTCAGATCTATCTTCTGTTGGTTTTTGTGTGTTATCATTTGATCAGACTGGGAACTTTCGTTGTGAACAGGTACGACTGCGGTGTGTTTATGATAAAAAATGCGGATTTCTACAGCAGAGATATAGGACTTTGTTTTAATCAGGTAAGCTATCTGCTGCATCATTATCTGATGTTTTTTTACCCTCGACACACATCACACATACCAACTCTGAATGAGAAGATAAACAAACGTTGAGTTTTGAGAAAGATAGAATGTAAAAGGCAACTTTCAATTAATAAGAGTACCATGACACATTGATTCTGTATACTTGTATGTTTCTCCAGGCCATAAATAAATTTTGCTGTGCCAGTCCAGCTTGAGATAGGACCATTTGAAATCTCATGATACTCTTGACTATTTTTCATCTTTTAGTGCAATCTGTTCAGGAAAATAAAAGTTTTTTCTGCAAAAATGCCATGACGTGTTTAAGATTAGTTCCAAAAGTCGTTTTTCTTTTTTAAAATAAATTTCATGCCTAGTCAAACACCTTCATATAAAATGAAAAGGAGTGAAGTAGTTTGTTTGCACCATTTGACAATTTGTATACTTGGAAAACTCTCAACTTAACTCATTACTCAATTTTTTTCTGCAAAAATCATGCTAATGTGAAGTCTTAAGTGTTGTTTCCTTTTATCTGTAGGGAGACATGCCATATTTTAGGATGAGGACTGCCAAGGAGCTCTTGAGGTTGAAAGCAGATTAAACAATCTTGAGCTAAGTAGCGTTGACTCTTCACTTTTGATGTTGCACCCGTGTCGGATTCTCCAAAATACACTACTTTTGGAGAATCCGACACACACCTGTTGCCATTTTTGAAGAGTCCAAGCAACAATGCAGTATATCCAGTTTCAACAAAGGAATAGTTATGTTGTTCAATAGTTGGTCGATGCGAAGCCAACTATTTCGTGAAGATCTTTATAGTATGATTTTGTCAGTATATGATATAACTATAAAAACTTGATTTTGTACGTTTGAGTTTGGAACTTGCTTCTTTAGGATGATCTCATTAATCTTGTAGAGCATTCAAATTTCACTCTATTTGGATGAATTCACGAGTTTTAAACATGCGTGATTCTTTCTCCTTTTGTAACTAGTCTCTATAGGTCTATTATTAGTTCCAATATTTGTGGATTTCTGCATATAAATTCATGTTCTGCGTTGAAAGTAGTAGTGGTGTATCCGCCTGCCGTTGCGGTTTTACTTAGCCCCGTACAATACATGGCTATTCATTTCCCAATTCTCTTTCTCAAAGAGCATTCAAAAGCTAGCTTTGTATGAATTGGAAAAGAGTGAGATCTTTTGGGCCAGAATTTATATGATTATGATTCATCAGTGGTAACAACAGGGAAATTTGAAGGAAGATGATAGACTCATTAGATATGAACCCCACACCTCGATTTTTTGTATAAGAAATTGCTTCATGGGATTTGGAGAAAATAAATTATCATCTTAGTGTTGCTCAAGTGAGTAAATTGTGCCGATAAAATGTAAATAAAAGTGAGAAGATAAAACAGGATGAATATATATAACAGAAAATCATGAGAGATGCCATTCATTGTTTTCTTTCTTCTATTTAGTAAAAAAGATCTGCACAATGATTCTTCACCTGATTTCATTGTCTGCAAGAATTACAAGGGGACATTTGATGTAGTAACTAGATTTCATGTCTAACGCGGTACCCTCTTTCTACTCAGTATTTCCTGCTCTTTCAATCGATGTTGGAACCTTGCAAGACGAGCCTGAAGGCTGACCAGACTTGCTGCTTTGCGCGATAGCACAAAGCTTAGCTGTGTCACATAATTGTCAATGCGACTTCCAGGTTGATCAACTTCTGCCAGCAGTTTCATTTCCTGAGAGCAAAAGAATATATATGTTAGTTATTAATGGGAACTCAGGGCATAGTAACAAGTTCACGACATGCAGCTATCATCACCACAAGAAAATGGAGAAAATATTGGGATTTTGCTTACTTCACGAACAATCTCCATTGTATCTTCAATTTCTTTCCTATGGGCAGCTATAAGGGTCTCTTCTTCCTGTATGCAGCAGGAGGACAATAACACATCATTGGAGAAGTTCAACACCAAGTTCAAAGAGAAAAAAATAACAAAATGAAAAGCAAAAGGCATAATAAAGAAACCTCGAGTATTTCATTGATATTTTCATCACGAGGAGGTGAAGAAACTTCATTTTGTCTTGATCCAACACTTTTTGTGGGGGTACTTGTAGATTGTTGTCTATAACTTGTAGAAGATGAATCAACATTTGCGACATCTTTTCTTGACCAATTTCCTGGCCGTTCTGGCTTTTCAGATTTCTCATCCCTGTATGCTTTCCTTCGAGGTGGAGACACTTTCGGCACCTTGTCCACTACATCAGCTGAACTTTGCAAATTGGTTGTCGAGTACAGTTTCTGACCAGCTGGAATGCTGTACGCATTCTTCACCTCAACCCTGTCCCTCTCCATACCACCAGAATTTGCCCCACTTTCCGCCCAGCTGTTGGCGATAAGACTTGAACCAAACCTAGAGGGTTGTTTATCAAAATCACTAGAGGGAATGTAAGATGTGCTTTCTTTCTCCATTGCCTTTCTTCTTGTGTCCAATACTTTAGATTCTTGAGGTTGCTCATAAGCATCTCCTGCTCCAGCAGGAACACCCAAAGTTGGCACTGAAGACTGTATTAAACTCGCACTCTGATCTTTCTTTGTGTTTCCACTTTTGGATAGACTTTTCACCCTGTCAGCATATCTCAATGTATTGATTGTATGTTCACATGATCCTGCATTAGGAGAGATGCAGGAAATCATAACGGTTCTTGAGTTGCCAACAAAGGAGTCACGGAGCACCTCAGTAAGTTTGCTCCCACGGAATGGAATATGATTCTGGTCATTGTCGAGAGCGCGGATACACTCTTTAAGAGCTAACAAACTCTTATTAATTTCTGCTCCTTCAATCCTGAAAAGATAACCAATATATAGATTTCAAATATGCTACTTGAACAAATTAGCAGCAAGGCCCATAAAGTATGAAATGGAGGGGGTAGGGACGGAGAGAAAAAGAAAAGCAGGCATTATATGGAGGTAAATTCTGAGAAGCACACAATCTTCTAAGTGCTGAATACTCATGTAAACTACAGTTTCAGACTGGCCAAAGTGGAAACTCGAAGATTTCCAGCAGCAGAGAGTAAGGTATTTGACAATGCCAAGCTCTTTATTTCCAAGTGTTTGGAAGATCAACCTTTGAGCAAAAGATTCAGAACAATAACATCTAACATACAAACTATCTTCATGACCTCGTACTTTTAGTCCTTGTAGAATAAGATCGAGAAATATCTAAGCTGTTCCCAGCCAGAACCCTCCGAGGATCTATGTTAAAAATGGCTCAGTGAAATGACTTCTAAAAAAGATGCACAACATCTAAGGAAAACAAATTCAAAGGGAAAAAAAGAAACCATCTCAGAAGAGGGAAGCATAACGAGGTGCAGCAAGAAGTGTGCTATGAGAACTTACCTTGTTTGTCGGTCATTATCAGTTGTGTCTGCACCTCTCTCGCTACCAGCAAGGTCAATAAAAGAAATCTTTCCAACAACTTTCCCACCCTTGGACTCATTAACATCATTGTTTCTTCTAGATTCCTTGACCTCATTAGGTTTCTTGACAACAAGCTGCAATATCGCATGTGATCTTGATGATTCCTCATTTGCACCAGTTGATCCAGTACTTCTTGCAGCATTTCCCCTCTCAATATACTCTTTAACAATCTGCACATCTGAAACTTCAAATTCCTGGAGTCCAACAATACACACCTGCTGCCGCCCATCTTCCCTCATACAGAGTTTCCTGCATAAAGTATGGACTAGGTAAGAAACTGGCGAAGAAAAACTATGTTGCATAGATGAAGCATCATATTCATGAGCGAAAATATAAGCAGTTTTTACAATGATTTCAATCATCTTTTAAATGGACAACCAAGACAACACGCTCCCAAGTCCCAACCACTGTATTGACTTAGCCACATAGTCATCTAACCATTTAGGACACTACAAGTTTTCAATGTCTACCTTTAGGTTTTGAAGTTCCTCTATTTTTGCGAGAAATTATTGATAGGAGTACCATTACTCTCCTCACATCATAGACTAGTTTATGGGACCCAATACCAGGTTCCAGGTTCCAGGCTATGCAAGTTTCCGATTGGTGTTGTGCAAATTATGGGACCCAAGCCAGGTTCAAGGCTACACAAGTACTCAACGTGTGTCATGCATGACATTACCTAGTGTCACTTGAGTGCAATATCCCTTAAATAAGGTAAAAAGAAATTTCCAAAGCATTATAAGGATACCAACCTCCGATCACCAAGAAGATCAAA